CCCCACTTTTCCTGGCTCTGGCGTCCCCTGGCAGGTCTGTGACGCCCGGCTGGGGGGACCCAGCGGGGTCATTGGTCGCCCGAAGCCTGGCACAGAGATGCCCCCAGCCCCGCCCAGGCACATCCCACCCCGCTGGACCGCTCTGCCCCTGCTTGGGGCTGGGAGGAGAACTGGGTCAGCGATGTAACCATGGAGATGCTGAAGGAGATGCTGAAGCAGCGCCGGCACAGCCCTGCTCTCCAGAACCCTTTAAAGATTAACCAGACCCGTCACCCTCCGTCTCCAGCCGGGGATGGGGCTGGGGGGCTGAGCCTCCTCGGCAGGGAGAGCGGGGCGGGCGCTGCCCAGTCCTCCTCCACCTGCGCAGGGCGGTAAGATGCTTCCGTCTCCTCTTTTCCTTCGGGGTGCCAGTGCGGGGAGGGCTCAGCCCCGGTAGCCTTGCCAGGGCTCCTGCGCGGCAGCAGCAGCGATTGAAATGCAACAGGGAACCCGTTATTGTGCCGGTCGTGCTTGTCTGCGCGTTGTGCATCGGTGCCGGGCACTGGCTGCGTGTCTGCCAAGCAGCAGAGCAGCCGAGGGGATGCTACAGCCATGACACCTCTCCCGGCTGCTCAGCCGGTGCCCAGTGGCTCCGTGCATCCCGCAGCCGTCCCAGCCCACGGGGGAACCGGGGCTGACTCGCTGGAGAACTTCTCGGCGCTCGCGGTGGTTGTTGTCGTTTCCCGCAAGGACGGTGCGTGGCGGCGGTAAGCGCTGGCAGGGGCTGCGGGCGCTGCCCCCCACCCCGGCGGTTCGGGGATGTGCTTCCATGGCAGGGAAGGAGGGGGCTTGCATGCGATCCAGCCGCTGCTGGAGTGGTGCGGTGGTTTGTTCTGAGAATCCCGGTGTTTTGCAATATAGAGAATAAATAAAATACAGAGCGGGGGTGAAGGGAAACCTGGTGCCGTTCCCTGCGTCCCCCACCCGCTTGCTGGGGAAAGGGAACGGGGGGGAGGCAGCATCAGGGCTGCCTGTGCCGGCCGAGGATGCTGTCGCGGTGCCGGGGCCGGCTCAGCCGGGGGAGCCGTGGGCTCCGGTGCTCTTGGTGCTTGGGCACGGTCTCTGGCCGAGCTCGTCTCAGCAGCGAGCACCGGGCACCTCCCTGATCTCCCCGTCCAGCACCCGCTCCCGCAGGGGCCAGAAGCAGATTGTGAAAAGAGATAAGGGGTAAAATTACAGGCAGGGTAAAGAAAACCCTTCCTTTGGGCTGAGGAGCGTGTGCTCCCCTTCCTTTGCGGTGGATTATCCTTGTGTGTGTTGCATTGGAAATGATCCCATTAGCGCTGTGCTCTCCTGATCTAATTTGCTTCTGCCAGAGCCCGGTGCTCTCCTGGCGGCTGAAGCGCCGAGCGGGGAAAACAGCAGCAGGAGCCTTTTGTGTTTTCCTGGCTGTAGAAATAACAGGGCTTGGTTGTGCCACAGCCCTTCTTGCCCATAACGCCGCGGGGAGAGGCCCGAGCTGGGCGCTGTGCCCGGCTGAGCCCTCGTGCAAGGGGACGTGCGTTTGTTTAGGCACAGTCTAACGTCAGGTTTGCAGGTGGGGAAACTGAGGCAGGGGGAAAGGAAGCGGTGTGCGACCGAGGGTGCGCTGGGGCTGCGGTTGGGGAAGTGGCTGGGATCCATTCCTTGCGGCAGGCGCTTCCCAAGAGCAACGCCAGCCCTCGCGAGCGGCCGCAGCCGGTTTGGAGCCTGGAGGGTGCCTGGAGAGCAGCAGGCGGTGGCGGAAAATGCTCATCCCAAAGGTCCCAAAGGCTCAGCCCCGACCCCTGCTCGAGCAGACGCTGAGCGTAGGGCGAGCGCTCCTGGCTGCTCTCACCCGTCTCGGCTTCCCGTCAGCACGCGGCCATGCCGGGGCAGCTCTGGGCTGCGGAGCTAGTGCTCGCCCGGTGCCGACAACTTTATCTGAGGGGCTCGAGCCCTCGTGCAAGCATCTGTTCATCAGCAAAGGCAGAAAAATCCCACGTACCCACACGTACACGAGGGGAAGCATGTGCAACGGTCGTGGTGCACCCCAAGTCTTGCCGAAAGCAAGCGGCCGTGCTGGGGTCCCGCTCAGTGACGAGCGCTGCTGGGCGTGAGGACTGGAGGGTTCAATCGGTGGGTCACTGCCACGCGCTCGCCCGCGGGAGCCTGGGCAGAGCAGGGGAGGAAAACACCAGCCAGAGGGAAACGTGGGACGGCTGCTGCTCTCTGCAGCTCATCAGTGATATTCATGACTAACAGCCCACTTGCCCCTGTTTGCATCCCTTCTGTAATTGATAAATCCACGAGTTCAGCAGTGCTGGAGTCGAGCCTGTGGCTCCCACCATGTCTCAGTCCTACCGTGCCCCTGCAAAACTCCTTCCCCCGATGCCGACGGGCAGCAGAAGCCCCCCGCCTTGCCCCACTCCCCCATTCCCGGCCATAACTTATCCTCTACGTTTGTGGCTGTCTCTCTCTCTTGAAAGAGAAATATTTTTCCAGGCGCTGCCTCCATCCATTATCATAAAGTGGCTTCACTTGGCCTGGAGTTAATAATTCACCTTTCCTTGGAAGATGGATGCTCCCATCCCGCTGGAGTTTAAATATTCATGGGGAAGGGAAGGCAGCAACCGCTGCGCTGCGCGGGAGGTCTGGCAGCTGCGTCGCAGCCTCTGCCGCCAGCGAACGCCCCGGTCCCCGGCAGCGCCGCACCCCGGCACATCTGCGGGGCCCCTCCAGGCACCGTCTGCTGCCAGGGCTTCACGGTGGACCCCGGCAGCAGCCCGGCGTGGTTTGCTGGGCCGGGGTCGGATCCAGCCCCTGTGGCAGGCAGCCATCTCGGGGTGGAGCAGCGGCACGCCTGGAGCAACACGTAGGGATGCTGCAGCCGCGGTTTGGAGAAGGAGGCGTGCGGGAGGAACTTTGCCCGTTGTGATTTCGCCTGGACACCTTCAGCGGGGGTGGACGGGGCTGTCCCCAAGCCTCAGGGTCCCCTCCTGCTCCTAAGCTGGGCGGGTTGGTGATGCACCGAGCCCTCTGCCCGCCGGTGGGTCTCTCCTGGCCGTCAGGGGCTGTCCGGGTCCCCCAGGGCGCTGGGGCAAGGCTTGTGGGTGCACCCTGTGACCCGGCTGCACGGGGGGGTCCTGCACCCCTTCCCTCGCCGCACCCTGCACCAGCCCCTGCCCCCACGGGTGGGGAAAAATGGTCCCGATGGGTTGTGCCACCTGAATGTCACGGTGTCACTTTGTAAGTGCCTCTGGGGACCGTCCATCCCTGTGGGGCTGCGTCCATCGTCCATCCCCGTGGGGCTGTGGGAGCGTGGTGACATGGCCGGTGCCGCCGCCCAGCATTGCGGGCCTTGATGGTCCCCTGGCCTTCCCCCCGCAGCTGATCCCACCCAGCAGAGCCGGGGCCGGCGAGCGCGCGAGCGGCTGACCATGTTCAACGGGGATGCCAGCTCCTCGGCGGCCAGGAATGTTGTCCGCAGCTCCAGCATCAGCGGCGAGATGTACAACATCGAGAAGAGCGCGCGGGGCAGCGCCGACTCCGTCACCGTCACCGCCAGCAAGAAGAGGCGCTCCAGCCTGGGCGCCAAGATGGTGGCCATCGTGGGGCTGTCCCAGTGGAGCAAGAGCACGCTGCAGCTCAACCAGACCGGTGAGCTGCCGCGGCCCCCCCTGGTGCTACCAGCCCCCCCCAGCTTGGCCCTTTGCTTTTAGGAGAGGTGCGTGCTCCCGGCTGCCCAAAGCGATGCTCTAGCCGCCCGTGTCTGATGAAGACACCTAAAAAAGGCCGTTGCAATTCCCGCCCCCCCCCGGCACACCAGCACTTCTCCAGGTGCCAAAACCATTTGCAAACCTGAGGCGGGGACGTTGCCAGAGCTCTGCCAGCGTGGGGGGGGCGGGGGGGGCTGGGCTCAGCATCCCCCCCCGGGAACAGCCAGTCCTGGCTGCAGGGCTGCGGGCAGGGAGGGAGCGAGGGAACTCAGAGAAAGGACTTGTCAAACAGTCTGGCTCTGGGAAATATTTAAATGCTTAAAATAGCTTTTTAAAGGGCGGGGGAAGCAAAAAGCTCACTTTAGTGCAGCCTTTTTCTCTAGTTATTGCTTTTTTATTCCGGTTCTTGTTGGCATTCCGTGATTCGGGAGATGTTCTATAAAGAGAGGAGTTAATTTGGAGCCCTCCAGCCCTGCACATCTGAGGTGTTTCCGAAGGGGTATAATTATCCCCAAAAGCCAAGCCAAAAGTGCCGGAGCCAGGCAGAACCGCATCTGGGGACGGCAGGACCGGGACCCTCCCGGCTGCCGGTGCCCAGGTGAGCAGCACCCGCTCCGGGGGGGCTGCCAGGATCAGGCAAACGCTTCCATGGGGGCAGCCCCGAACTAGCAAGACAAACCTGACTCCCCCAGGAGCAGCCGTGGTGTGGTGCCGACATACACATGCTCGTGCGGC